AACATACTTGGTCACCGACTTGGACACGCAATTATAGAAATTATATATAATTAATACATCTTTTAAAAAGACTAATTGTTCTATTGACAGAATGTGAAAAACAGTTCTTGCTGAATATTGTCAACTAAATATACTTCTAAGAATTTCTTCAAATATAGGCGCACAGTGCATACATTTGTATTTAATGTATATATATTATATATACAATTATATTTGTATATAATGTACTGTTACCTTGAGCCGAACTGCATATCTATACCAAACTACCATTAAAGATAGAAAATAAAATGTGGTTTGGAGCATAATGTAGGAATCTGCTACCTAAAGGTAACCTATACATTGTGGCCATAGGATATGCCTTTCTCAACTGTTTGAAGGCATACCAGTCTTTATGTTTGTGGTTTTAAAGTAGACAGATGGACAGAACGCTTCTTCTCACACAGTCAGAAACGACTTTGTGAATGCAAAATTATAGCTATAAATTCTGTGGAAAAGTAAGGCCTGTTATTTTGTTAAGCACATATGATAACAAATACATGGGATTTTTTCTATAAGTTAATGGTTTTTGTGAACATACGCGGACAGAAACACTAATTCAACACAACCAATAATGGACTTAAAAGGTACTTCAGATGAAAATAGGGAAGGAATAAAATGCCCGGCGTGCCCTATATGCTGCATTAAGAAATATGCGACAGAACTAGCAGTATGGTTGAGCACTGCTGCTACAATTAGTTGTTACTTAATGATGGCTTTTTGCAAGTATTGGTAACAACTAGTGTTTTTTGCAAGTTATGGGAAAAATGCACAAAAGGGAATAGCCAGGCTGATAGCTCAGTATAGATCACGCTGTTTGAGGTCCACCAATGTGTAAGAGCAAGCCCAAGTGAACCCAGAGGTGAGGCGGAAGAAGACGACATCATCAAGAAATCAACACCTGCAGGCAGGCACTGGGGCTGCACATGTCACTGTGACAGACCCTCTGGGGAAGAGTAGCCATAGAGTCTGGGATGCTGTGGGAGATGAAAGGGTGAGTCTGACAACCAGTTAAGGGGGTAGTTACAGATAATTTTTTGCAGTTTGTTTGTTGTTAGGAGTTCTTACAGATTCTTGTACGCTTACATTGTGCGTTCCTTTGTGCTTGGCAAGTGTATCTTTATTGTCACGCAACTTCACAAAAAAGCCACGCCACTACTTGCGTGCCCCGAGGCATTCCACATATGCCAAAAATGTGGTCACAGCTGCTAGTGCCTTTGAAAGGAGGAAGACTGGGGGGGCATGTTTTTCACATCAGCAGGTCTTCCCTTTGTGGGCTCACTGACAATGCTGAGCTAACAACATGCAGGGAAAAACATCATACACTGCTCTCCCCTCTGTCTCAGTGGGTGTCTGTCATGCCAACAACGCTTCCTCCCTCAGCCAGTGAATTGTGAATTTCTTGCCAGGAAGGGCTGAAGAACAGCTAATCACATGACAGAATAGTCTGTGAAAACCCTAGAGCATGGAGACTCACGCCCTGCAAAAAAAATCTGGAGAATCCATATCTGAAACCCTTTAGGTTGAAGAAAGAAACAGGGCACATTTCTGGCTTCTAGGGTGTGATTTAACCACTTTGAATTAACCTGTATCAGTTAAGTGAAAGAAAAGAAAGTTACAAAAAATCAAAAGCAACATTTATTTATAACAGTTTACAAAGTAAGAAAACAAGTAGAGATTTTCTGTCCTCATTTATGAGATGTCAAGCCCCTCTCACTGATTCGATAGATGCTCTGCTCCCTACAAGCTATTTCCAATGAAAGAAAGTAGAAAGAGGTTGTAAGAATGACAACTGACCATTCCTTTCTGAAAGAAGAGGGGAATAAGCATATAACATATTCTGACACTTATGATATATTCTGTATAGATAATTTCTTACAGATTTCAATATATTTGCCAATTTCCCCCTCATTACCCCTTCTCACAGGAGCATTATATCCACGAAGTAGATACCATAGTCTTTTTGAGCCTGAAAGATTGTGGGGTTTTTCTGCTTGCTTCATTAAACAGTGATTTTTAGTCCCACAAACATTCCAAATTTCCCTTGATTCCCTCCTTTCAGTGTGATCATGACAATAGACTACATAATAGTGAGCTAGAAGATGATTATTAAACTCTGCATCCTGACAAACTAATTTTGTTTGACTTTACTTCGGGTTTTAAAAGCAAACTGTACCCTCTTATAAGTCTGTGTGTTCTCTCCTTTCATTCATCATTTGTTTTACGAGCTGTGTCCAAAACTTCATTTTGTGTTCTTTCAGTTTCTTTGCTGCCTTTTGCATTAGGTTTATTTCCAGGTATCTTTCATCCAGACCATACTGAGGCCAATGGACCAAGCCTTCTCCGTTGGGATTTCTGGAAATAATATAATGAAAAGTTAGCTTTCATTTGCCTATCAGTTGCGCTCTGACTGCTCAGGCTGACAGCATTTCAGAAAATTAACATGAGCTCAGATTATGTAACTCTAGTACCTGAATAGTTGGATGTTTTTTGTCAATGTAATCATCAGTGGAGTAGCAAATGTTTAATAACTTCCATTACTTTTAGATCTAAAACGCCACTGCAGATGGAGTAATAGTTCTTGGATTTTTTTTTTTTTTTTTTTGGTCTGCAGGTTCATTTCTTGCAATCATTAAGAATAGCAATAATTTACTTCAATATTTATTTTAAATTCTGCCAAATTTGTAGAAATCACCATGTAAGTATTGCTATTATGTTTCAGGCAGCACAGACAAAACTTGATCTGCAATTAACATTATGATTCTCACCCATTTCTAGCAAAGTTAGTCCAGTATCTCATAACAGTTCTGCTAAGTTTATTTTCTTCTTCTGTAGCATACCCTGCAAATAGATGAAATGGCAACATTAAAAACTAAATAGTCAAAAAAGTAGCAGCTGTATCAATTCCAATAGACTGTAATCAATTCTACTTGTTACTCTGAGCTATGGGAATTTTACTTGAGCAGAGCTCCAGGAAAGAACTGCAAATAAATAACTTAATGGAAAGTAATTACTACTAAAGACAGAAAATGTCGATGTTGATTCCAATGCTTCTAAGACAGAAAGTCTATTCTAAAGCCCTCCAGTAAGTAAAATGAGTAATAATGATGTCTTAAAAGGAATACTTCAGTAAGCATGGATACATCACCGGCTAAGAATGGCTTTCCAAAGACAAAGGCAACCTCATCTGCATGATCTGCTTTTACAAACTCTGGTACAACACCTGCCGCTGAACTTGGTCGATGTTGAAATTCATAAAAGTAAACTGGGTTGCCAGCATCTAGTAGAAAATACAGAGAAGAGTGTTAGTTTGAGAGCTGAAAATACCTGCCACCAAAGATGGTAAACTTTCATTACGACCTGTTTTGGCAAAATGAAAACACTATCAGTTCTCTGGATAATGTCTGTCCACAAACACACCCCAGGAGGGAATTCTACATTTCTTCTAATAAATGCTGAATTAGAGACTCACCTCTATGGTATCTAGCCACTTCAATGGCTGAAAGAACAAACACAAGGTCTCCTATTGCATCAAGAAGGCCATCTCGCACCTGAGCACGGTTTTCTGCATTCCCTATGTATTCATAGTATATTCGATCAACAACTTCCGAACGAACACCCTGAAATGAACAATAAAAGTACTTCTTATAATGATGATGAATATTTGTCCTGGTTTCAGCCAGGATAGAGTTAATCATCTTCACAGAAGCTAGTGTGAGGCTACATTTTGGATTTGGGATGAGAAAATGTTGATAACGTGCTGATGTTTTCAGTTGTTGCTAAGCAGTCAAGGACTGTCCAGCTTTTCATGCTGGCCTGCCAGTGAGAATGCTGGGGGAAGAATGTACGGGAAGTTGGGAGGGGACACAGCCAGGACAGCTGACCCAAACTGGCCAAAGGGGTATTCCATACCATATGACATCGTGCTCAGTATATAAAGCTGGGGCAAAGAAGAAGAAGGGGAGTGGAGGGACGTTTGGAGTGATGATGTCTATCTTCCCAAGTAACCCTTACGTGTGATGGAGCTCTGCTTCCCTGGAGATCACTGAACACCTGCCTGCCCATGGGGAGTAGTGCATTAATTCCTTGTTTTGCTGTGCTTGTGTGTGTGGCTTTTGCTTTACCTATTAAACTGTTTTTATGTCAAACTATGATTTTTCTCACTTTTACTTTTCCAATTCTCTCCCCATCCCACCGATTCTCTCCCCTGTCCCACTGTGGGGGAGTGAACGAGCAGCTGCGTGGTTCTTAGTTGCTGGCTGGGTTAAACCACAACAATATTATAGAGTAACAGCACTAACTGACTGTGCCATCTGCATATCCCTGGCTAAACCCCAAACATTACCTTATTTCAGAGAAAATCCTCAACTGTGTCAGAGTGTGGCTCAGAGCTCAGAATTGGGAGTTACACAGCTACCACATACAGATGTTCTCAGGGGACAGAGGTTTGCAAGATCTAAAGATCAAATGTCTTTAGATAAACATCAGTCAGTGTTGATGATAAATAGACATAGTAGTCTGTTCTCCCTTCTGTGGAAATAACCCTCATAAGAGAAAACAAATCCTACTGGATTTCATAAATTAATTTATTGTTGTAGATGGTCGTAATTTACTCCCTTTCAGAACAAGCCTGGGCTTTGCCTTTCCAAGTTCACAATGGATGTCTGTGACACTGAATGATCCCTTGCAAGTACCAGCCATGTTTATAAAGTCCTTAATTTTTATGTATTAATCTGCATTTTTCTATATTTAGTAGTTTCAAGAGAGCACAAAGGAACCAGAAGGCTAAGAGGTTTATAAATTACATGGAAGCAAAAACTCAAGATACCTAAACATAGATGTCTCAGCGCTATTTTAAACATCTCAAGTTATTCCTTCTAGTCTCCAGCTACTGCTTCAAAACAGTGCATTCTATAGGTCTTGTGTCTTACCTGCTGGTACCACACGTGTCTTGAATAACCTAGGGTATGTAAAATGTCACAAAAGATCTGTTTAGGTACCTGAATCACTCCTGGATTTCCACAGGACTCCTTTTAAAAAAGCGGGGCTTTTAGGATAGAAATTTAAACTGTGTTTTCATTCGCTAGTGGCAACAGGAATACACCATGTCTGCTGCCCATTACTGCCCCATGGTAGGAAGCTGTCAAACAGAACAAAGTTTGCCCGTAAATTATACCCCTCCAGCAGTACAAATATAGGACCAGACCAGTGAAGAAGCAGCACTGGGTTACTCTGAAAATGATCTCTTACCTTAAGTGATAATGCTAAGGAGCTCTGTAAAATTTGACGTGCAACATCTTCATCCAGACCATCTGTGTAAGCAGGAAACTTCATTGCCTGCATGATACAGAGAATCATATTTATTATATCTTATATTAACAAAATTATATACAAATAATGACATTACAAGTCTCTTACCATAGGAAGTACCCATCCAAATTCACAGTTATTTACACCAATTATATATGGGACTGAATTGATAATTTTTTCAGATAGTAATTGCCTGGGACTCTTTGGAAAAAAAACACCATCTGCAGATGCACTGATGAAGGAAGGCTGGAGGGGAAAAAAAAAAGAAAGCTTCATTAATATACAAATTTTGCTTCTAGAAAAAATTTTCAGATTTTTACTGTAGTTCCAAAACAAAATAAAGTGCCAAGTGAAAATGTAAGTATTCAAACCATCTCTAAATTTTCTTTGACAGATTTTCTGCACTCAGAAGATGCTGTGAAGATTAGCATTGTATTTTTAATGTTTGTGAAACATAGGTGATGATGTCCAATTTACATCTCTTCTTAGTTATTTCAATCCTATTATGGATGTGTGAAGCAGTAGTGGAAAAACTAACTTCTGTGTTGAAACTGCAAAGGAACATGGAAGCCACTACTGTGATAAGAAATTTTAAGTAGGACATAAAATATTATATTAATTAATTTTCAAGTTCTCCAGGAGAAACTGTGACATTTTATACACTCTTTTCCTTCCTGCTACAGCATGGCAGCAAAACACAAATAGCTCAAAGTCCATGCAGAATGAAAGGGAAGGAACCTGTTCACATTTTTCAGGTAAGGCATAGCATAGCTGCAGTGTTGTCAAATCCTGAAAAGGTCAAGAAAGTCAAGTGTTAAATTCACTTCAAGTTCTCCTAATATTACAACACAGAAATAGCATACTCTGTTACGATAAAATTTGAAATGTCATTTAAATGCAAGTAATATAATTTCACCTACCATTTTTAGCGTTATCTGTATTATCTCTTCTTCTGTTTTTTCTCTTAAGCATTCAACTATTGCAGCTGAACTGTATTTTTCACAGCCAGAGGCAGTAGCAATTCTCTGCAATCAATAAAAACAAAACACTCACTTTTTCCTATACTTCCCAGAGAAGGCTCTATGTGCCACCGAGCCTGAGAGTCCAGCAGGGGGGAGTCTAAACTTCTGCACAAGGATCACTGAGGCCAGACAAGTTCCAGCTGCAGGTAGAGAACAGAAGCCCTCATAACGCTTCACACTGTGGGCTGAGCAGATGGACAAAACATATGCCTCCAAAATATTTTGACACAGAAATAGATCAAGACAGTAACTCTGGTAAATAACATGCTGGACTGAGAAGGCAGGATGACACAGAGGACTTAAAGTGATGCACAGTTAGAATACAACCATGTAGATGGTAACAAAGAGCATGTTATGCCATTCTTGATGATGCCTTTTTGGGTGGAATAATAGCTGTCATTAGAGAGACAGAGCTCATTATAATGTTGCCTCTTTTATACCCCAGATTCTCAAATCCAGGTTCCTGGAAGTTATTTCTTGTAGTTGGAAAAAAAAAAAAAAGGGTTAAAGTCAGCTCTTCTTTTCTAATATAAACAAACTGAATAAAGTCTTGTTTATGTCTTGTTTATTTGCACACAACAAGCATCAAACAGGAGGGGAAGAGGAGAGTATTCAGAATCTGGTGCCATTTTTTAGCCTAAAATTATAGCTCAACTTTTCTTGAAGACAGTATGTGTATAGTATTCCTTTACATTTCACACTTCTTCCCTGCCTTCTCTCTTCAATTCCTTAGTCTTTTGCTTTCACTCAGACATACATGGATATTTGGGTATTTGAAAAGCAAAGACTAGATGACCTTTAAAGGTCCTTTCCAACCCAAAATATCCTATGATTCTATGTATTATTTGCACACAGAAATACTGTCTTTAATGACTGTGGTTGTAGTTTCACAAGACAAAAAGATCTGTTTCTACTTTTTGGAATAAACAGTTGAAGATAGCAAAACTATCTGGAAGAATAATTAAATTTACCACAAAATACCCACTTGTGCTTCCTCCTCAGGTTGGTCTGTGAACAAAACCCTGACTGCAGTACCACTCTCTGAAATGGCCTTATGGAACAAGCCCTTTGCCAGGGGAGATAAAACCTGTAAAAAAGCAAGAACAAGCATGACAAGCATTATGTTCTGACCACTGACTTAGAATTTCAATGTGAGGAATTGCCATTTAAAACATTTTGAAAACAGATGTCATAAGACTGTTATTCTGTAACCTCTGATCATAGTTCAGCTATGCAAAGGGCTTTGGCAGCACTATCAGGGATAAGGAGTTCACGCCTGCCTTTTCTCCTCCCATAGCACCTTCCTTCCCAGACTTCACGGAACTACACTGCAAACCAGATATGGACTGAATATAACTGTGTCCAAGATAGTCTGGCTGTGCTGCAGAAGGGGAATAAAGAACTACAGGCCAGAGGGCAGGACCTTAGGAAACAGGAGTTTTTATCACAGGTATCACTGAACCCTGGTTTCACTGTGTGATCTGTACCAAATTGTGAGAAACTGGAGAAGAACCTCTGAATAAATGTGCGCAGTGTTGCTGTAAAAATTTTAAATAATCACTGGGTCACAAAATGCACATCTAGTTCAGCTATCATGACTTTTTGCCTCTGTTACTTTGCACAGGTGACTGTCAAAGCAAACAGGAAATGGGCAATACATCCTCTTAAAGGACTCTTCTCACAAGCATCAATTTTTGGGTTTTTGGCACTGCAAAAAAACCCCACAAAAACAAAAAACAGAACTTAATTTAGTAGATAAGGAATAATGTTTTGGGTCTAAACTACAAGACCTGGGTATGAAAAGAACATTTTGATCAATCAGAAGCTGTATTGTTTTATTGTATTGTTGTTGTACTATAAACCAAGGTGATGTGTTATTTACTATAAAAACATCCCTTTTCTCTCACTGAATTTTCATGCAGGTACTAAAAATGAATGTGGACAGCATTTTTTTTCCCAAAGCAATTAAAATTCAATATTACTGTGAACTTACAAGAGCAGAAACACTGATTCCTCCTGCAGATTCTCCAGCAATAGTGACAGATCCTGGATCTCCTCCAAAATGTATGATATTTTTCTGAATCCACTGAAGAGCTGCTACTTGATCTAAATACCCCCAGTTACCTTGGGCATGCTTATCACCAGTGCTGCAGAGAAAGCATAGATTTGTTTAAATGCTCAATGCAAGAAAAAAAGGCAGAGAAATATATAATCTGTGGTATGAGAAATCAGCTGCCATTCTCTACACAGAGCTTTACAAAACTGAAAAATAAATGGCTCAGAAGGCATTGAGATTAGAGTAGCAATCAAAGAACAGACTTGGAAGCTGACCTGGGACTTGGAAATTGTTCCCAACTGCAGCTTATGTAATTAAGAAATTTATCATTTCTTTGCATAAATGAGTATTCTGCACATCTCTTCACAAAGGCTTTGCAAACATAATTTTGGAACTCACTCAGCAAAAACTAAGATAAAATATCTTACCTAAAATATCCAACAATACCTAATCTGTACTGAACTGTTACAACCACCACATTGTCAAAGGCAGCTAATGCTGAACCATCATATGATGAAGCTGCTCCAAAAACTAATCCACCTCCATGGATCCATACGAAGACCTGGAAAGTCAAAACCAGAAACAATACAGCACAGATAACAGCTCCCAGTGATAAAAACTAAATATAAACCAAAATGTACTATTTATTTGGTGCTGTTTCACTCCTGATTCTTTCAGATTACATTTCACAAATGGTAGCAGTCTTTCGAATATGAGGCCTGCAGTCTTACAAAATGGCATTGATTTTATTAAATACTTACACTATACCAGTGCCCCGTGACTTTTCACACATTATTTAGAGGAAATCAAACATTACCTAGCTAAAATGTCAATAAAATTTTATTTGTAATATAGGATTTTGTGTCCCTCTTAAACCTCAGCAAAGCTGGGGCAAAGCATGTAACTTGATCATCATTACGAAACTGCACTTGTTAGTCTGCATATAGCACATGCTGTAGGTTTGCTGTAAAATAATTTTGCTAGAGGTTTTATAATGATTTTACTTACAGGTAACTTCTGTTTTTCTGTAGAGACGGGTGTATACACATTTAAGTATAAGCAATCTTCAGACACCTGGAGAAGAACTTTTTCTTTTCTATTAGTAATAATGTCTGAAAAAAACTGTCCTTCTACTTTATCCTGTAGACACCTGAATAAATGAAAAAATAACAAGCAACAGAAATAAACAAAACCTCAAACCACAAAGTATAGCTTTTTTGTACCTCCACAACAAAGTGTAAACCAGAAACCAATCTCTAGTAGACTTCTAGACTGTTGGCAACAGAAAACATAAAATATTTTTTTCACTTTTAATATACTTTCTTCCTTTGACCTGGCATTAAGGAGATCCATAAAAAGGAGTCACAGTCTACAGCATGATATGCAGATATAATTTTGCATGCTTTGAATTATTATAGAAATATACCTGTAAATACATATGGCTATAAACTACTTCAATGAAGATGCAATTAACTATTTTATATCTTCAATAGCTTTTTATATTGTGATGGTAGGTATTAGGCTTGAGGCACTCAACAAGGGCAATAGTACAAATGGAGTAAGACAGTTACAATATAGGCCAGAATTGGCCTGCATTTCTTATGTGTCCTATTAAGCATGTGACTCACTTGGCCTTTTTTTCTTTTAATATTTTGTTCCGACATCTCCTCAGCTTCTTTCTGTTTCTGCTCCAAAGCTACACATTGTATAAACATTGCTAAATAATGGCCAAATGCTCCCGAAAACAGAACTTCATTGGCAAAGTGCTGGTCCATATTAATTCATCGCTGATGCCCATTACATAGCAGTTTTTAATAAAAAGAGCTGCTTATAAAGATGGCTTTAGAAATGCGTTCATTGTAACAGTTGCAGGTGGTAAGAAGATAGCACCAAGGAATTTATCTTCGTGGCCTTTGATTGCCCCGTACATCAGTGTTCTGGGATTGCATATAATATCAGATTATTAAAAAGATCAATGGTTTTGTCACTGTCTTACATTGGTGGGTAGGAAGTGGCATCTCTGACACCTTTCCATGGCTCAGGTGGCTGGGGTTCAGAAAACCGCAGTGGTCCAACTGGAGGCTTAGCAAAAGGAAGTCCCAAAAAGACATTTACACTCCTCTCAGCGGCATCTACTCTGAATTGGTACCCTCGGACACTCCCATATTTGGTCACCACTTCCGGCTGCTCTGCTTTTTGTCCTGGGGGATGTGAGCACAAAATCACATAATTGGTCTATTCATAAGTAATTGCCAGATTTCTAAGAGCTTTAGCTGCTTAAGTATAGACCTTTTGTTTGCTTAAACAATTAATTTTCATACTTCAACAAACTCTAATCAGTATAGCTGACATTATTCCAGCCTTCATTTTGATTGGTTTGTATGTATAATCTCCTTCAGGTATATCATTTGTGTTGTCTTACTATATACACACATTAGTAATTGCATATAGATCTTAATCCTTTTTGATCCAGGTTGTTAGTTAAAAGTGCAATAGATTGCTCTCATTAAGCAAAGGCATTTCCTTTTTAAGAAAAGATCTGTGAACACACAAAATATAGTCTGGACCCTTGATAGTATGTACAGTCAAAAGAAAAAGCATCTAACATACCTGAAAATAGGCTGGCATATACAAATACTGTTAACATTTAGGTAAAGTTCATTTTAAGATCAGTGTGAAAGTTCTCAATACCAAATTACAAATGTTGTAGTGGTCTGCTCTGCCTCAGCAGACAAGATTTTGGGACAGGAATTTGATTTTGCTATTTGCAAAAACAGGCAAATAAGACAAATGACTGAAAACAGATCACAAAAATGAAATTAAGACCTATTTGCTATTCAGACTTAATTTCTATGCAGCAAGGTTGGGTGCCCCAGCTCCTCTGATAAAGCTGGGGTTCCCCTAGCTGAGCAAGCTGCACATGTGCTCTATTTCCTTAGAGAAGGCAATAGGGAAAAACCTTTCTGAAGCTTACCAGTAGTTACAAGTGCTGTCACCCCAACGGTGAGAATCAAGGACAGCAGCGAAGTGTCCTTTCCAGTTGCCATTTTGCAAGCTAGTCACATATTTACCTCCTCAGTGTGTTGCCTTATATACTCTGTTAAGTATAACTGTTACACAAGGCAAACACTAATTAGGAAAAGCAATACTCGAGCTGTGAGCCAACCTAGCTGCGGGCAGCCAGAGCAAGTGTCCTGCCTGTAAGCCGCTCCTCAAAGGGAAGTGCACGGCAGTGCATCTGTGTATGGGAACAGGGAGACTTCCTGCCTTGCAGAATGGCCCCCCCAGTTTCATATTGGCGCCCTGGTGCTCCTTATATATCTTATTCACAAAACCTCAGGCATCAAGTATGTGCTTTAAAATACTTTGAAAATATTCGTCTATTACATCAAGAGATTGGTCCTGCTCCTGTAACACTACCATCTTTCACAATTAAGTTTTGTTACACCACACAGTGAAGAGACCAGGAAGGGAACTACACATTTCCTTTATTGCATCTGTTTACTTCATTTTGGTATTAATATCTCAATGTAAGGAACACACAATATAGCCACAAAGAGCAAAATCCAAAACAATACTGAAAAATGTGCTTTTGCTGAAAGTTGAGGGACTTTTATTCTCACCTGTGACCTACAAACTACAGGAGTCCTTTGCTACAAAGCCAAATGCTGTGTACCTGCTTGCTGCTCTCTCCTTTTGCTGAAACAAACTTTATCTCCGTAAACCATTTATTTTCTATCTCCCGATCTATGCTGATTTTACTAAACTCTGTCCTTTCCGATTTGCTTTCCCTTTGTTTTTCCTCTTTGTTTACTATTCTATTTCCCAAGCCTTACTCTTCAATCTTTGTTCTGCTCACTACTTCTCTCTCAAGTACCCATTCTGCAAAATATTTCAGCCCATATACCATCCACAGTCCCAGAGAAGCAGCCATTCTGAAAATATTACTAGTGCAAACCGGTTTCTGAAAACTCCAACAATCTTATTTACAACAAGATAATAAACAAATGGGATTTTAGATGCCTACAGCCTTGCCTGTAGATACTTTGTATGAATCTACACGCATGACCTATGTGCTCTGCAAATATGGAAACCCTTACTCTAGTGGCATAGACTAAACTCTTGGAATCTGGAGACAGTGGTACGTACCTGGCAAGTGCAATTCTTGAATCCTGTTTGGCATTTAATTTTAACAGAGCAGCTTACCCTCAATCAGTGAATAATCTGTTCAGTCAGGCATCAACCAAACAAAATCCTGCCATATGATGACATTTGCCTCCTTATACTTCAATGCACTGCTACCTTTATTTTTCAGATACTGAAATCAAGAGAGAGAAATACCACATTTATAGGCCTGTAATTGCATAAGAGCTCACAATTACATTTTGCTTCAAGTATATACGGTAGAAATATTTAGAAGTCTGCATTTAAAACAGGGTCAGTTTGTTATTTTACTCAGCCCCTGATGAGTATTCAACGAAGCTGGATTGTATAAAATATAGAGCTAAAGTCTATGAAGCTAGTGCTTGGGCAGCTTTAACACTCTGCCTCTTTAGCATGTGGTAATCTCACAGCAGCATGTCTCTGGGATGGGACAGAGTATCAGAGCACTCACCCATAAGTAGATAGGAGTAAAATCTTTTGACATTTTCCACTGTGATTTATTTTTAGCACTGTGCCTGTGCATAAGTAGTCAGTTCCACGGCACTTCTCTGCATACACTTACAACATAAACATATATTCTGTGCATATACATAGAATACTGCCTGTTTATCTCCTTTGAAAGGGAGTGATGCAGGACCTCAGGGGAATTGTATGTGCAATGAAAATCTACCAAGACTATTTTGAGATTATATTCCTCTCACAAAACATGTAAGCTGAAGCAAAGGTGAACGGACAGATGCTTAGCAGTAATTCCTACTTAACGAAAACAGCAGTTGTGCTAACAGTCTAACCCGACCTCCTGAGTTCTCACTGGCAACAGAATTTGGGCAGAAAGACGTAGGAAATCCCACCCTATGTCTTCCAATAAAGACAGTCATTCAGAAACAAGGGATGGCCCGTTAATTGCTGTAGGACATTATTAGCTATGAACATTCTTAAATTCTTCCAGAGATAAAGAGGGAAGATGAAAGAAGGAGGGAACAGATGCAGAGTGACCTGTAGGATCTGTGGAGCTGCGTAATGCTTGCTGCGAGGTAGCACTATGGTCAGGAATAGAGTTGGGATAGCTGGAGCAGCCTAGGAGCCAGATACAGGAAACAAACAAGACACAGTGGAGAAAGAAGTTCTTGACAACACTGAAATGAAGTGTTCAAGACTTGTTCTCGGCAGTCCAAGTGCATAGCAACCAGTAAAAGCACTGGAATAATTCTGGTACAAAGGAATCCCTCACCAGTGCGAGTAATGAAGGCCTGTGACCCAGTGCAAACAGAGACTCTGGAGCTGACTGAATGCACAGAGAACAGCCCGGAGCACAATGTAAAGCACCATGGAAAAGGCAGAAAGTGTGAAAATAATGTTACCAACATAGATCCTTCTAGGGGAGTTATTGCTAAGTTTAAAAGGCAAAAAGTGTGGGCAGTGGAGACCGTTTCTCCCTTTTCTAACATTTCAGAGAAGTCTTAATTCCAGCACTACTGTTACAGGTTACGTATCACAAGAGTCAGAACCATGCTCTCTCTGTTGTAAAACTGACTTACAAAGCAGAACGTTCTTTAGTTTCTTTTTTTTTCCCCACAGAGGATATTTCTGTATCTAAATCAGAGCAAAATATCTGCACCATCACTGATACACTTGGTATCAAAAGACAGTTTTACTTGCAAATTGGGTCTTTCTTGATTTCACTGTATGAAAACAATGTTGCTGCTACATTCTGTCTTCAGTCATGGCGAAACAACAGAAAAAACTGAGCAGTGGGGAAACCTGGTACCTATATTTAATAAGTGAGGCTTCTGTTATAGACATGAATCCAGGAAAAAGTAAAGGATCACAAAGGGGAAATGTATAAATTGGAATTATTAGAGTGAATAATTGCAAATATGACAACTGTGAAGAAAAGGTGAAAATAAGGGAAACATAATTTTATCCTCAAAATTACATTAATTTCTTTTAATATCCTAATAGTTTGCATATTATGTGCATGTTCAGACTGTAAACTATAACTCTGAATTAGCCTTCTTGTTTTCTGTTCTTTTGTTATTTATCTTTTCAAAATCATATTTCTCCAGAAACCTACTTTCTTTTCTTTCAACCTTCTGGCTTTCTTTTGTTTTAGATTTATCTGTAAGTATTCTTCATTTAGGTTGCAAGATGGCCATTCAACCAAACCATCTCCATTAGGATTTCTGTAAACAACAAGAAAGAGTGAATGCCCTTTTCAGTCGCAGGGGAATTAAATCACAGAAGTTAAGACTGAATCAACAAAACAGCTAACTCACAGAGTCAGCACAAACGAGTAATATGTGTCATGAATCTTATGATTCTTACCTGTTTTGAGCAAAGTTAGCCCAGTACTTCACTACAGTTCTACTAAGGTTCTTTCCTCTGTAATGTCACATGAGAGACAAAACACAAAATAATAATTATGTGTGGCAGAAATCAAAACATTGCTACTAGTGAAGCAGCATTTCAGTCTGCGAATGTGTTGTAACAACTTACTGATTACAACAGAGGCACCATACCTGCAATATGATAGCAATGCACCAAGCACCAAGAGAAGATTTCAGCACTCTTTATGAATGAGGTGAGCATAATTACCCCTGTTCTACAAATTGAGGAATTGGGGTACAAGGAAATAAGGTGATTTGCCTGTAGCTTTTCAGGAATCCACAGGCAGAACCGAAAAAAGAACTCACGTGTCCTGAGTTCCACTGTAACTCAAGGAATGGGCCACATGGTTTAGTTTCATAGATCTCATTCTAGCTTTGTGGGACTGAAATTGTTCCCATTATTAAGAGAATGACTAGGCAAAGATTTCTTCATTATGATACAAGACAATGTCATTCCATTCTCAACGCTTCAGGAACATGCATTTAAACACAGTTACACATATGCCCACTGTATCAGCTAGGTGAAAATAATTTCAGTTACAGTGTGTTATTAATTATAAATGCATTTCAATACATCAAGAAAAATATTTGTTATTTTAATGCTTTCAGTAAATTCAGGCACATAGAAGAAGAACTGTATACTGTTTTCTAGTGTAGCATAAGTAAAAAAATAAATGTAACATATAAGCAAGATCAAAAGGCTCTAGTAACAGATTAATGAACACTTTTACAACACAGTTGGATTGCTCCAAAGTTCAATGGAGTAAAAGGAAATACTTTCATTTATATAGGCTTTGAAACAGACTATGAACTACTGTGCAAATGACAAAAAATAAAAGCAGAAAAAAATGGTGAATTAACTTAAAATAAGTAGAATTTCTGTGTTTCTTTGTCAAAATAAGAACTGCTCCGAACTGCTCCTCATTTGTTTCATGGGAAAGAAAATACACCATCCTGAGTATTATTGTTTTAGGCATAAGCAATTAAAGCAAATTGCTGGACTCATAATATTCCTGAGGATGTGGCATGTTGTAGCGTAACTGTTTGTGGTGGTGCAACGCGCCTCGCCTTCGCTTTGTACCTGGGCCGCTCTAAGTTGCCTGCCAAGCCTTGGCCTCCGAACAAAGGTTTGGCGGTTGAGAGCCTCCCAGCCGTACCGAGCACTCTTGCGCAGCCAAGGAGGAGTGTGGCACTGAGTGTATCAGAAACTGATCGCCTAAACAAGGTACCGAACAAGAACAGAACTAATCCATTATCTCCAGGCAATCCTGGCAGAGGTACCATTAAAACTTGAGAAACCAGCTGCCTGGATTGCGGAAACTCTCTGATGCATAAAGTCAATCATCTCCCAGTCTTCTAAACAGTGGTCCCAAGTGAGACCCTTTGAGTTCTCCTGGACTGCAGCGGGCTGGGACCAGCACCTCCCTCTGACTGGGACACCTCTCAGAGTCTGTGAACCCTCAAGTTCACAATGAACTCAGAGGCTCGACTGTGCA